CACCTCAGACCTCCCCAAATTCCTGCTTATCCAGGCCCTGGTGGCTGCTCCCCGTTTCCACCTGGAAAAACCAGCCACCCCAGACCTTTCTTTATTAGCGCTGCTAACGAGGGCTCCCCAATTAGCCCAGGTTGAAGGGTGCAGGGGGGGGGCAGAGACGGTGGTGCAGGACGGGGGAGAGGATTTGCAGGGTTCTGGCTCCCGGGGTGAGGAGGGACAGGGACAGGGGACAGGGGACAGGGACAGGGACAGGGACAGGGGACAGGCCCGGTGCCGTGGGGCACGCTCGGCCGCTGGCACCCGTCGGGCGACTCCGGCTGCGGAGCCACATGCCTCCCAAATTGCGCACGCTGCCATGTAGGTCACCCGGCCGGTAATGACAGGGCGGCAGCGCCAGCACCCACAGCCCCGGGGGGGCCACCCAGGGGTGCCCGGCGCGGCGGGGACACCCAGGACCAGCCGGGAGCTCGCCCAGCCCGCGGGGTCCCCGGCGTCACACGGGGGGGGCTGGAGTGCCCACAGCCGTGTTTGCCGGCCACGCGCTCGCTGCACAGGCACTGCATGCTCTCCTGTGCTGGCTGCCTGGCACGGCATCTGCATGGCATCTGCATGGCATCTGTATGCTCTGCATGGCACAGCACCTGCATGGCATCTGCATGGCATGGCATGGCATCTGCACGGCACCTGCATGGCATCTACATGGCATGGCATCTGCATGGCATCTGTATGGCATGGCATGGCACAGCATCTGCATGGCATTGGCATGGCAACTACATGGCAGGGCATCTGCATGGCATCTGCATGGCATCTGCATGACATCTGCGTGCTCTGCATGGCATCTGTATGGCATGGCATCTACATGGCATGGCATGGCACAGCATCTGCATGGCATGGCATCTGCATGGCATCTGCATGGCACGGCACCTGCATGGCATCTGCATGTCATTGCCTGGCATCTGCATGCTCTGCATGGCATGGCATGGCATCTGCATGGCATCTGCATGGCATGGCATGGCATCTGCATGCTCTGCATGCTCTGCATGGCATAGCATGGCATCTGCATGGCATCTGCATGCTCTGCATGGCATGGCACCTGCATGGCATCTGCATGGCATGGCAAGGCATGTACATGGCATCTGCATGCTCTGCATGGCATCTGCATGGCACGGCACCTGCATGGCATCTGCATGCTCTGCATGTCATTGCATGGCATCTGCATGGCATCTGCATGCTCTGCATGCTCTGCATGCTCTGCATGGCATGGCATGGCATGGCATCTGCATGTTCGCAGCTGCATGCTCACCGCCCCCCGTGAGCGTGCCCGGTGGCCCTTGCACGACCTCTGCATGTTTGCTGCACACCTGGCACACGCTCTCTTTGTGCTCTCTGCACGCTCACTGCGTGTCCACACACTCGCCGCACGCTCTCTGCACACTGACTGCATGTCTGCACACTCTGCACGCTTGCTGCACGCTCACTGCGTGTCTGCACGCTCACTGCACACTCTCTGCACACTGACTGCGTGTCTGCACGCTCTGCACGCTTGCTGCACGCTCACTGCGTGTCTGCACGCTCACTGCACACTCTCTGCACACTGACTGCGTGTCTGCACTCATTGCCTGGCATCTGCACGCTCACTGCGTGTCTGCACGCTCACTGCACACTCTCTGCACACTCACTGCGTCCTCCCTCCCCGCTCAGTGCTCGTGCCCCACACTCACTGTCCGCTCCCCGCACGCTCCTGGCCTCCCTGTGTGCTCTGCACGCTCGCTGCGTGTGTGCACGTCCCCTGCACGCTGAGTGCACGCTCCCTCCGTGCTCACTGCTCACACTCTGCGCTCACTGGTTGCTCCCTGCACACTCATACCGTGCTCACTGCATGCTCCTGGCCTCCCTGCACACTCACACCGTGCTCACTGCACACTCATACTGTGCTCCCTGCACACTCACACCACACTCATTGCACGGTCTCAGTGCTCTGTCTCCCTCACCCCGTCTCACACCCAGACCCCCCCAGCCCGGGAGGTGTCGGGGTGACACCACCATCATTCAGAGGGGACGGGGGTGCACGAGGCAGTGGTGCGAGGGGCGGCTTCCTCCAGCTGC